TCACAGTATTCTATATATTATAGCATTATATTCACAGTATTCTATATGTTATAGTATTATATTCACTGTATTCTATATATTATAGTACTATATCCACAGTATTAAATATAGTACTATATTCACAGTATTATATATATTTATATATTATAGTACTATATTCACAGTATTATATATATCATAGTATTATATTCATAGTATTAAATATAGTACTATAGTCACAGTATTAAATATAGCACTATATTCAAAGTATTACATAGATCATAGTATTGTATTCACAGTATTCTATATATTATAGTACTATATTCACAGTATTACATAGATCATAGTATTGTATTCACAGTATTCTATATATTATAGTACTATATTCAAAGTATTATATATATTATAGTATTATATTCACAGTATTATATATATTAAAGTATTATATTCACAGTATTCTATATATTATAGTACTATATACACAGTATTCTATATATTGTAGTACTATATTCACAGTATTATATGTATTACAGTACTATATTCACAGTATTATATATATTACAGTACAATATTCACAGTATTATATATATTATAGTATTATAGTCACAGTATTCTATATATTATAGTATTATATTCACAATAATCTATATATTATAGTATTATATTCACAGTAATCTATATATTATAGTATTATGTTCACAGTATTCTATAAATTAAAGTATTATATTCACATTATTCTATATATTATAGTATTATATTCACAGTATTATATATGTTATAGTACTATATTCACAGTATTCTATATATTATAATATTGTATTCACAGTATTCTGTATATTATAGTATTATATGGGAGTTATTAGATGAGTGAACTCTTGTCTGTTTTGCCTGAATCTTATATTTTTTTCAGGAACTCTTGAACCGTATTGAAGACTTCCAGCAGCACAGTGAGAAGGTCCTGGCAGACGAAGCTCCCAGCGTTGCAGAGATCCAGAGTCTGCTGGATGTCAGTTTTGACTTTGACGTGGACCTGCCGGAGCTGCCACAGCTCAGACAGAGGCTGGAACAGGCGCGGTGGCTGGAGGGGGTGCAGCAGGCCAGCGCCCAGCCTGCCACCCTCACCCTGGAGGCCATGAGGAGGCTCATCGACCAGGGAGTCGGTCTGGCCCCTCATTGGTCTGTGGAGATGGCCATGGCACGCCTTCAGGAACAGCTCACGCAGTCCGAGCACTGGGAGGACAAGGCGAGCAGCCTGCTGAAGGCCAGGTGGGGCAACGCTCTCTGATCACTGATGATGTTTGAACTTAGGCCAGGAGGAGGACACAAACCACCCAGAAACACCAGGAGCACCACAGCACAGACATGTTCCTGCTCTGATCCTGACCTTCTCACATATTCAACTCTTTGTCCAGATGTTTGCACTGATTGTGACTGAATTATGAAATTATGACGTCAGTGCTCCTGATTATGCTTCGTTTTAATTCCAGCTAGTGCAAAAAGCTGCTGCTAGAATATTCAACAAGATCAACAAAAAGTGAGCATCATGTTTAGTTTTGCCCTCATTCCATCGGTCCACAGAGCTGTTGAGCATTAACTGTCATAAGTGCTTTTTAAAGGCTTTTATTAATGGCATGGCTGTCAGGAACATCCATTACCAGATGAACTAATCTCAGTCACGACTCCTTGAGTTTAAAAAAAGTCTCTTATTATTGCATTTTGCTTTTTTCATCCAATATTTAAGGTTTCACAAGGTTTGAAGTATTGGACAGTAATTATTAAACTTGTCTGGACAAGGATTTTACAAGTTTTGATGGTTGGTTAATAAATACTGTGTAAGCTTGACTGTTAGCTAATGTTAGGGAGTTTGGAGCTGAAACAAAGAATGGACCAAAGTTGATGTTCATCACATGTGTTTCTGACTCCAGACCACCACACTCCATCAAGACGCTCAGCGCTGCAGCTGAGAAGGCCTCAGGAATCCCCGCCTACCTCCCAAACTGTCTGCTCCTCAAGGACACCATCAGGAGAGCCCAAGAGTGGCTCCAAGAAGCTGAGGAGCTCCAGGTGAGGATGTGTATGAAGCAACATGCCCAGGTGACTCCAAAGGCAACAGTACCGTAATTTTCGGACCATAGAGTGCACCTGAATATAAGCCGCGCCCACTAAATAAAAAATAAAAATAAAAATTGTATAAATATATATATAAATTAAATAAAATATATAAATAAAAATATATAAATAATAATATTATATATATATATATATATATATATATATATATATATATATATAGTATCTCTCTTGTAAACGAGTCCCCGAGGCTCAATGGGATTAACCTGTCTGAATAAAGGTTGAATGAATGAATGAACCCAGAAATGTGGGCCAGTGTGCCAAAAATCGATTGGCTGTCAAATGGCGACCGTGGGAGCGTGCACGGGAGGACTTTTACAAGAATTTAACAAGATTAA